GGAAATACGTTTTACACGGAAATAGTTAAATACGTTTTCTACCCGTTTCGAATTTCGTTCATACTTTCGACAAGTTCTTCGCGTTTTAATTTGTACGACGGTATTATTCTGTTGTAAGAAATTTAATTTCTTTCGAGGTCCATAATCGTTTATCAGAGGCAACCGCGGCTCGCGAGAGAGCATTTTGATGACACCGCAACCGTGTAAATTAAAAGCGCATGCTACGGCTATTCGGACGAGTAAACAATTTACTGTGGCTACGGTAAAACATTTGTTCCCCCTATAAACAAACGAAGCGATCCAATTTGTAGGAAATACATTTAGCTTGGCTCGACCGTCAATGGAAAGTATAATGGCCTCTCTGTTAACGCTGCTAATGTTAATCGCTCATTTAAAGCTGTTTGAATTACCTTAATACCGTGTATATCACTCCCGTTTCATATTTTATTAACCAATCCACAAAGAGAATCTGTTTGAGCCAGATATATGTTGTTTGTAATGCTTTATACGTTTCTACGCTAATTAAACATTCGGTAACAGAGTCACACACGTCACGCTTTTGGTTTCTCGTGTCATGTAATTAACAATTGTATATATTTTAAAATGAATCCTGTCACGCGATCTTAAAAATAATATTACACAGTGCAATTGACAATGGTACAAAATTATATTATTTTATTATGAAGCTAATGTTACAGAATATTTGAAGTTCTGCAACAATTCAATAATTTTATTTGCAATAAGTCTTAAGTCTAATATTTATAGCTGTTCGATAGGCAAACTATAAACCATTAAATCATTACACTATCAATAATTTGATAAAGTAAAATTAGCATAAAATGATGGTTTTTAGTACCCATTTTGAACACTAAAATTTAGCGAAAATGGTTACATAAGCGTTTCATTATCGTTGTTAATACGGAATGACTGGCCGTCAGTTGTAATAAACAATAGAATTCTATTACGCTGGCGCGTATTAAATGGTTAATTATAAAACATAAAGGTCTGACACGATTTGATGACATAAAAGCGCCACAAAATAGCATTTATGGCACATCAATTTGAAAATTAAAGCACCCTGAAAATGACTACATGAGCGTTTCATTAATATTCTTAATGCAAAATGGCTGTCCGGAACAAACAGATCAACGAATTCACGAATTACCGTCCATTAGCAAATATTTATACCATATGGAGGCATTTATATTTTGGAAGAACAATGCAATTATTGGACCTTTAGTTTATTGTAGAGAATGTGGAGTTTTTGAGTGGTTCAAATTTTTATTGGAAAATAGAAGAATTCGGGATTTGGGAGATTTGGAACTTGGTAGATTGGGAACTTGAGAGATTAGAAACTTGGGAGAGTTGGAACTTGGAAGATTTAGAACTTGGGAGATTTGGAACTTGGGAGATTTGGAATTTGGGAGATTTGGAACTTGGGAGATTGGAAGCTTGGGAGATTTGGAACTTGAGAGATTAGAAACTTGGGAGAGTTGGAACTTGGGAGATTTGGAACTTGAGAGATTTGAAAATTGGGGGATTTGGAACTTGAGAGAGTTGGAACTTGGGAGATTTGGAACTTGGGAGGTTTGGAACTTGGGAGATTTGAAACTTGTGAGATCTAGAACTTGGGAGACTTGGAACTTAGGAGATTTGAAACTTGGGAGATTTGGAACTTGGGAGATTTAGAACTTGGGAGATTTGGAACTTGGGAGATATGGAACTTGGGAGATTTGGAACTTGGGAGATTGGAAGCTTGGGAAATTTGGAACTTGGGAGATTGGAAGCTTGCGAGATTTGAAACTTGCGAGATTTGGAACTTGCGCGATTTGGAACTTGGGAGATTTGATATTTGGGAAATTTGGAATTTGGAAAATTTGAGATTTCGAAATTTGGAAATTTAGTAACTCCAAAATTTGTTAATTTCAAACCTTAAAAATCCGTAAACCCATAAATCTTAAACTTCTTAACTTCCAAAATACCAAACCGCATAATACCAAAATACTAAATTTCTCACTAATTATTAAAGGTAATCATAATCTAACATGGCCCCGCTTTCCGTTCCCCTCGAAATGAATTTTCAAGTACTCATCCAGAATTGATCATCTCAAAAATCGGATTAACCAAAGAGGATTAAACGGTACAAATAGTTAATTTCTATGGGAGTTCGTATAATGTTTATGCGATAAATTAGGTCGCGAAGGCAACGTGCTCGAGCGTTCGATCAAAAATGCATACTAACGCGTTGCTTGTCGCGCCAATCGGGTTGCACAGAATGCAGCTGACTGCATCGAATGCCTTCGAGCGGTGCAATATGCGTGAAACGTGTGACACGCGACACGTGTCAAGCTCGGCCAATCGACCACGCAACTCGATTTATGCGCAAACATACGTAGCGAACCGTGGTGAAATTATTTCGTGAATTGAGCGCGTTCCAAGGCGACGATGACCCTAATTCCGGCGATTCCTATCTATGATTGATTAGTCACCGCACGAAATATATAAAGTTGACTATAAAACTACTTTTTCTAATCTGTCAGTCATAGTCTGGGAATAATCGTTCTGAATAAAAATTTCACTTTCGTAAAAAGTTTGATGTTTATCGTTTTATGAAGTTGATTGTTAGAAAAATCACGTTTGACGTTTTTGGAATGGAAAATTCACACGAAAGTGTAGAATCAATGTGTAAATTAGTATGTTATATAATTTACTCAGAGGCTTTTATATATTTTAGTTTATATCTCCTCAAGTTATATTATCGCCACTGGTGATATAACGCGAAACAATATGAACGTATAGTGAAACCAACTGGTGGCGAAACAATGTGTGGTGATATAACGCGACACAATTCCAATGCGTAGGAAATTAACTCACGGCGATATAACGTCTGGCGATATAACGCGTGGTGATATAACGCGAAACAATGCCTACGCGTAGGAAATCAGCTTGTGGCGATATAACGCGTGGTGATATAACGCGATACAATGCCTACGTGTAGGAAATCAGCCTGTGGTGATATAACGCGATACAATGTCAACGCGTGGGAAATCAGCTTGTGGCGATATAACGCGTGGTGATATAACGCATCACAATGCCAACGCGTAGGAAATCAGCTTGTGGCGATATAACGCGTGGTGATATAACGCGATACAATGTCAACGCGTGAGAAATCAGTTTTCGGTGATATAACGCGTCCCAATGTCAACGCGTAGGAAATCAGCTTGTGGCGATATAACGCGTGGTGATATAACGCATCACAATGTCAACGCGTAGGAAATCAGTTTGTGGCGATATAACGCGTGGTGACATAACACGTTCCAATGTCAACGCGTAGGAAATCAGCTTGTGGCGATATAACGCGTGGTGATATAACGCGATACAATGCCTACGTGTAGGAAATCAGCCTGTGGTGATATAACGCGATACAATGTCAACGCGTGAGAAATCAGTTTTCGGTGATATAACGCGTCCCAATGTCAACGCGTAGGAAATCAGCTTGTGGCGATATAACGCGTGGTGATATAACGCATCACAATGCCAACGCGTAGGAAATCAGCTTGTGGCGATATAACGCGTCACAATGTCAACGCGTGGGAAATCAGCTTGTGGCGATATAACGCGCGCTGATACAATGCGAAATAATATCAACGCATAGTAAAATCAGCTTGCGGCGATATAACGCGTGCTAATTTAATGCGAAAAAATGTCAGCAGCAGTAATTAAACTTCTAGGTTTCCAACACCTGGGAACGCCCAGGAAATGACGTAACAACACTGTACGTGCATTTACTCCAAAATGAATAGTCGCAATTATAACACCTACCTTTAAAACACTATACAATGATAATTACTAATATTCTCCATTGATATTACATTCAAAATGATTAATTATTTAACAAGTAAGAATTCTACAGACAGAAGCTGCTTCCTAGTACCGATGGTTTTACTAGAAAATTAGGAATAACCGTTTGATCCTAAGCTATCGACAATTTGAATCACTATGTATGTATCATCAGATAAGGGTGAGACAGCGAGTAGTGAAACAACTTTCTCCGTGAACGGAGATGAAGCGTATCGTTTCAGCAATCGACAGACAGAGATGCAGCAGCTTTGGGGATGAAAGAGGGTGGTATCCCTGTCTCGCCCTCGTCGGGTTTTGCCACCCTTGCATAATGCATCGAGAAACGTCGTTAAGGCAAAGACGAAACTTCTCTGACATGAAACGCCAGAAGCACACGCGTCTTTACTTCACTCGTGTTCTTCATCTTTCGAGTACCTTTTTCTGCGTTTTCTCATTTTCTGAAGAGCTTTTTCTGTATTTTAATTTGTACGTTTGTATTGCTGTTGTTTAATGTTAATGTTACAAGATAACCTGGTATTGAATTAAATGAAACGGTATTGTTTTATTATTGTAGCTTCGATTTATATCTTGATGCAATAATGTTGGTTTAATTTGAGAGCATTGTTTTTCTTCGCATTTATCACGAAGGACGTTCTCTAAATAAAACATTTTTGTTGACCAGTGGTTTCGTTCAAACGGAACGCCATAAAATCGCATCGTTTTATGTCATGAAAAAATAAATAGGAACGCTTGTTGATATTCCTAAAGTGTATTTCCCAGACCAGAACTATTGTCAGCTCAATTTTTATATAACATTGATCTTTAATTTTTTTATTAGTCCAAAACTTTATCGATGAATGTTGCATATTTGGGATTTCAATTTTTAAAAAATTATTTCGCTAAAGTTCTTTATTTTATTCTCAATCACTGTACCAATTACATTAATTTTACAATACATGTTACAAAAGAGTTAATCTTCACATGTTCCAAATGATAACATGAAAATGTAACTCTTATCACATATTTGCATAATAGAATGTAAAAGCGGGATTGAAAATTCATATATTCGAATAGATACATGCATTTAGCGATTACGAATTCAATTTCGTATCTTTTCGTACATACATATAAAAGTCACACGTGTGTTTAATATATACGTGCTACTCTATTTTGCTTCTCTTTTGATCAGATGAAGGATGTTTCGACTCGTACGACTTGTAATATCTGAAGCACCATTGTAAAGTCCGAAGAAGAGTTATTATACATATTACTGTTACGATAAAGAACATTATCGAAAGAAATGCGACGATGTCCATATCGTATCGCTGGTACCACGGGTCATCTGCTCCACTGAACCGAAGATGTGGCGCTCCTTTGTGACGTAACACGTACTCCACCCACCATATTGCGCGGTCTTTACTGTTATAAGGTTTATCTTTTGCGAGATGTCTTAATTCTAACATCTTTGTTTTATACCTGCAAATGAGGCACAATATATGATACTGTTTGATAAATTATAAGGTGTTGATAGTCAAAGTATTAGGAGGTTATAGTATTACTAGTTAGCAAGACCACATGTAGTATTATTGTAAAGTTGTATTACTAGTTAGTAATATCATGTAGTATTATTGTAAAGCTGTAGTAATACTAGTTGTAGTATTATTAGAAATAAATTGTGAGTGTGAAGGTACTGAATTTAAGAATCCAAAAATTCTCAAGTTCATAAATTCATAAATACTCAGGTCTTGAGACTGTATCTTCCAATTTCTATATCAACAAAATGCTAGCTGTTTAAATTCCTATACTCCCACATTTCTAGATCCCCAAATTCCTATGTTTTCAAAGTAGGTCTCCAAGTCCTTACTCCATTAATACCTACATTTTCAAATTTTTGCATCCCCAAATCCCTACATCGTGAAGTTCTTGCATCTCCAAATCGCTACATCTTCAAATTCCTAAATCCCCAAGTTTCTACATCTCCAAATACCTGCATCCCCAAATACCTACATATCTTCATTCCTACATCCCCAAATCCCTACATCTCCAAATCCCTATATCCTCCAATTCCCACAGCCCCAAACATCCACGTCCCCAAATCCCTAGATCCCCAAATTCGTAAAAATATCTAAGTCTCTAAATTCCGAATTTCTGAAATCTCCAAATTCGCAATCAGTCCCAAATCCTTTGATTTCCAAATTTACAACCCCTAAATCCCTAAGTCCCTAGACCTTCAAATATACAAATATCCAAACCCCAAATCTCGAAGTTACCAGTTCTTCAAATTCCCAAATCTTGAAATTAGCTTATTCTCCAAATCCCCAAATCTCGAAGTCACCAACTCTCAAATCCCCAAATCCCCAAACCATCAAATGCCCAATTCCTCAAACTATGTAGTATTATTGTAAAGTTGTATTACTAGTTAGTAATATCATGTAGTATTATTGTAAAGCTGTAGTAATACTAGTTGTAGTATTATTAGAAATAAATTGTGAGTGTGAAGGTACTGAATTTAAGAATCCAAAAATTCTCAAGTTCATAAATTCATAAATACTCAGGTCTTGAGACTGTATCTTCCAATTTCTATATCAACAAAATGCTAGCTGTTTAAATTCCTATACTCCCACATTTCTAGATCCCCAAATTCCTATGTTTTCAAAGTAGGTCTCCAAGTCCTTACTCCATTAATACCTACATTTTCAAATTTTTGCATCCCCAAATCCCTACATCGTGAAGTTCTTGCATCTCCAAATCGCTACATCTTCAAATTCCTAAATCCCCAAGTTTCTACATCTCCAAATACCTGCATCCCCAAATACCTACATATCTTCATTCCTACATCCCCAAATCCCTACATCTCCAAATCCCTATATCCTCCAATTCCCACAGCCCCAAACATCCACGTCCCCAAATCCCTAGATCCCCAAATTCGTAAAAATATCTAAGTCTCTAAATTCCGAATTTCTGAAATCTCCAAATTCGCAATCAGTCCCAAATCCTTTGATTTCCAAATTTACAACCCCTAAATCCCTAAGTCCCTAGACCTTCAAATATACAAATATCCAAACCCCAAATCTCGAAGTTACCAGTTCTTCAAATTCCCAAATCTTGAAATTAGCTTATTCTCCAAATCCCCAAATCTCGAAGTCACCAACTCTCAAATCCCCAAATCCCCAAACCATCAAATGCCCAATTCCCCAAATCCCTAAATCCCCAAATCCCCAAATCCCCAAATCCCAAAATCCCAAAATTCAAAAATTCCAAATTCCAAATGCCTAAATCCCCAAATTGCCAAATCCCCAAAATCCTTAAACGTCACCCAATAACCTTAATTACTCCAATGAAATTGACCCATAATTTTTATTAATACTATTCCAAGAATATTAATGCAACAAAGCCAGCAAAATTGAATTCAAGCAAACATAAGTGCGATATAGGATACAAATTTCTAAAGACACACACAGGGTACACGGTTCCAAGTAAATCCGTGTAATTATTAATGGGTGAAACATGGTTAAACTACCTTTTGTTATTGAGTACATCGATAACAGCCTCCTGGAAGGTTTCCTCGTCGAGCTCGGTAAAATCGAGCATTCTACCAACTCCTAACGACATAAGTTTCTTGATTCTGTACAGTTGATCAAATATTAACGGTATTCCTATGATCGGTACGCCATAATGTATAGTTTCTTCCGTGCTTTGCAACCCTCCTTGATAAATGAACAGTTTGATATTCTTGTGGGCTGTAATTATTTCAATTATTTCAGAATTAACAGTCCGAATTACTAGCTTAAAATATTAGGTTTAAATATTCTTTCAATTTTCTTAAATAATTTTTGGTATGTTAATGTATGTTAATAATTTTTTTTATTAAAATTCGAGGTGTATTAAAATTTGAGTTGGATTAAAATTCAAGAAAGAACGCAATAAAATTAGAGATGTATTAAAGTTGGAGATGACAGCTTTAAAATGGAAGAAGGAATTAAAGTTAGAATAAAATGGCGGATATATTTTTACCCAAAACACTCTGCTGAGGAATCCAATCTCTGATGAAGATGTTCTCACTTTTTTTCGGTAAATTTGTTTCGAATTTCCATATGATCTTGTAGGGTAATCGAGAAAAGACATTGGAAATTGCTGTCAGGGTCTTAGCAGGCAGCATCGTGGAATTAATAGTGGATCCAAGATTCATGTAAATGAAACCTTCGGACGCTGTTCCCAGAAATTCAAGTATATCCTGCAAGGCGATAACTAGATTATATACTCCTTGTTACATCAGAAATTCATCAAATATCGCGAATTTAACAACAGTGTTTAACCGAAATCATCGAAAAGAAAATTTTAAATAACGTTGATGTTTTATTGTAATTATTATGCGAAGTAGCGGAAAGCTTGAATTGAAATGCGAATAATTAAAATTACGCTTCGTGCTGAATGTTTCACTGTGATCAAAGTATTTTTAATCGCTTGAAGATACGTCAGAGCTCACGGTGCATTATATTAACGAAAATGATAAAAAGAGCTAATTATTTCTTGATTATGGAGGATAATTATTACGAAACAAGGTTCTTTGGCGGTTGCGGAATGCTTTGAATTGCTTGTTGAGGATGGACATTTTAATTTTAACTCACAGTTTAATCAGCGGTCATTCATTTCCTGATTCAAAATTTTTCTAAACTTCTAAATTCCTAGAATATTCAAATACCTAGATTTCATAAAGACTGAATCATTAAGTTCCTAAATTAAAAAATTTTTAAAACTCTAACTTTCGAGGGCCTCAAGTTCCCATATCCTTAAAGACCCAAATTTCTTAAGGTACGACTTTCTAAAATTACAAAAAATCAAATCTCGAAATCTCTCAATTTTTAAGTTTTGTAATCTTAAAATTCTCAAATATCCAAATTCCAAATTTTCAAAAAATCAAATCTCGAAATCCTGTAATATCAAAGTTCTCAAACCTTAAAATTCTCAAATCTCCAAACCTCAAAATTTCCAAAAGATCGAATCTCGAAATCCTCAAATTTCTAAGTTCCCAAACCTTCAAATCCTCAAATCTTTAAATTCGAAAATTTTCCAATGACCGAATCTCGAAATTTCCAAATATCTAAATTCTCAAACCTCCAAATCCCCTAATCCCTAAATTCCAAAATTTCCAAAAGATCGAATCTCGAAACCCCCAAATTTCTACTTTCTCAAACTTTCAAATCACCAAATCCCCAAATGCCAAAATTTCCAAAGGATCGAATCTTGAAATTCCCAAATTTCTACGTTCTGAAATCTTCAAATCCCCAAATCTCCAAATCCCAAAATTTCCTAAAATCCAAATCTCGAAATCCCCAAATTTCCATGTCCTCAAACCCTTAAATCCTCAAATGCCTAAATCCCAAAATTTCCAAAGGACCGAATCTCGAAGTCCTCAAATTTCTAAATTCGTAACCTTTCGAATCCCCAAATCCCCAAATGCCAAAATTTCCAAAGGATCGAATCTCGAAACCCCCAAATTTCTAAATTCTCAACCCTTCAAATCCCTAAATCGCCAAATCCCAAAATTTCCAAAAATCCAAACCTCGAAATCCCCAAATTTGCAAGTCTTCAAATCCTCAAATGCTTAAATCACCAAATTTCCAAAGGACCGAATCTCGAAGTCGCCTTTCCTTGACCTTGACAACATGTACCAAAATCAAGGTCATCAAACCTTAATCCCCCAACAATTCCCATTAAACCCACCCTTAAATATGAAGTACCGCAAATATAAAATACCTTTGGCAAAGGCGGAGGGTTATCCACAACAGTCCAATTACTGTATCCAACAAAATTGAATGGCATCGGTCTGGCATAAGTGAGCACCGGGTCATAATTAACCAAAATCAGGCTTATATTCTTCAGCACATCAAAGGGAGAGGGTATGTTACTCCCCAGATATTCTTTCACGATATCATAGATGCTTCCCGTCTCATAATAATACCACTGTCGAACCAAGAGCAGTGCATGCACAAAATTTTTTACTCTAACCCAAAACGGCACTTCCAGTCCTGTACTATCGTGAAATTCCCAGTTTGAGGGATGAGACGGTAAAAGATGGTTGCCTAGTATATGATGGTGCACCAAATTGATCTCCACAGATAATATAGCTAAAAGAACAAATTTATTAAAAATTTTGTACCAAAGTCCATTTTGTACCAAACGTGTATTTCGCTTACTGATCAGAGGAGCTTTTAATTTGTGAGCAATAAAGCAGATCCCATGAGTCAGCACATGTTCCGCGATCACCAAATCGAATCTCTCCTTGCTGTCTTCCGCGTAGATCCTTTTTATATCCGGATGCTCGTAAAAGTATTTCGTATAAATCTGCAGGTAATCATATATAACAAGATACGACTCCAGCCTCGTGGCAGCCTGATAACCAAACAGTCTCGAAAGCACGCTTAATAGCTCTGGCATCTTCAAACTAGAGCTGAAATCGATTTCGGTGTAGTTGGCCGGCAGATTCTTCGTTGGATGCGGCGTTACCATCACTATTTCATGGCCTCGTTTATTCAGAGCTAAACTAAGCTCTCGTATCACAGACACATGGCTGTAGAACGGCGCTTGGGCTATTATTAATATCCTTTCGCAAGCCACTTGATTTCCCAACACCATGAATAGCGCGAAACAAGGAATTACCAGGTTCCGAATACGAGATAATTCGTCCATTCTGTTGTTGTCTTCGCTCGATGTATCGCTATGATTTTATTGCTATAACCACTGTATTAATACTATTACGAGACTGTTAGGACTAGGTAATAATGTCACTTTACAGACTAACACCACTGTGTTATATAATCGACTGATAGTCGAGTTTGACCTAAAATTTTATCACTGCTTTTTAATTCAAGGTTCAGAGATTTCAGGATTTAACTACTTAGTTATAACTGTTCGTATTCATTGTCACTTTGACGGGTTGATTATAAATGTTATCGGCGCTGAATTCAAAATTTAACTTGTTAACGCAAGAAGGAGAACTTTTGATATTTTTTGCGTGTTGTAAATAGGTGTCATGGCCGACACGGAGATTCTAACCTCTTTTATCTTACTTCATTATGCTATTATTCTTTACTTATTCCACTTTTTGCTACACTGCTCATGTTAAAATTTCAAGACTACTATGTTAAAATTTAACAGTTAAACTATCAAAGATATACTAAAATATTAAAATTGTCTTAAAATGTTATGCCAAATGATAAAATAAGAACAATGCTAAAATGTTAAAAGTACAATGTTAAAATTACATACGTAATTCTTAAATGATCTCATACATAATAATAGAATTTTTCGTATATAAATCGCAGATACAAATTACCGTTTTAATTCGCCCATCTCCCCGTTTATTTTTCCTCCGATCAAAGTCGCGCATTTTCATAAATTACGCATTAGCCAATTGTACCGCGTCACGTTTCTCTGTCATAATTTGAAAAGTTGTCTCATTATTTATACGAATAGGTGGGATAAAGTTATCGAACTTTGCCAATTACGTTTGTCGAGTATCAGGTTAAACGAATTTCTATTTTTCTGGCAATGATATAATCGCGAATAAACTAATTCGGCGTTTCTTTAATTGTGCGCCGTTAAAATAATCGGTACTAATTGGATTAAAGTATCCATCAGCTTGATATTATATGCAGCAAATTGGTAACACGTGGCAACAAGTTTGGTTTATCCGCCATTATTTATTACCGCGTGTTTCATACGACTTCTCATAAAAGTCAACAAGTTTGTGGCTGTTTTAACAAGAGCTAATTGGCCCCGATGCACAAGAGTTAATTATTTGACTTCCTACGTAATTTAATTATCAAATCCTTTCATCCACCGAGGATAGTGCGATCGATTAACTCATCAACGCGTTATAGAAACTCCAACGAACTATTTGCTATTCATGTTCATGCGTTTACTTCGCCAGTCGAACTTCAATTTATTACCCGTATTAAATCGATCAAACGATTTCGAATCGAAGAAATCGACAGTGGTTACTTTTTTTTGATTATAAAATACGTTCTTGAAACTCTTAATCGAATCGTTAAAACCTTAATGACCTTTCGAGTTAAGCAGAAAGGAGAGCTCGCTATTCCTGCGGGAGAGACGCCGCTTCGAAACAACATTCAGGACGTCGCTATTCGCTTCACAACTATTTGCTTCTGCGTTTAGTTCAACCTGTTTCATTGGCAAAGTATGCAAATTTATAAATTGGCTACACTTCCGTCAAGTTTTAGTTTCGGGGTTTAAATAGCGGTGAATGTCGAGGAACACGCTTAGAATTCTATAGGTGATTAGGAAAGTTACTAATACTGTTACTTTCATTGTAGACTCCATCGTTTAATTATTTAGTTACAATTTACTAGTTAAAACTGTTCTGTAAGGTAAATTATATTAGGGTATGACATTTTGACTGAATACTTGATTGAATGACGTAGCGGACACATTGATGTACCTGTTAGTGAGCATACATGGACTGTGATGATTTTGAAATTATTAAATGTTTCAATTTGGAAATTTGTTAATTGAAAATTTAAAAATATAGCAAATTTCAAATGTCATAATTTTCGAGCATAGATCCAGAAGCTTATAAACGTCATAATTCAAATATTTTTAAATACAAAAATCTTGACACCACATCTCTTTTTTAATGCAGTATTTTCTTCTCAATATACCTTCATATGTATAATGTACCTTCAATAAGTTCATATTATCTCTTTTATTAAAGCGAAGTTACACAGAAATATATTAGACATCACATATTACATATGACAGAATGAAAACGTTAATATAATACGACTATACTGTAACGTATAACTCGACTATAATAATAAACTGTCACAATAATGATACAGTGCCAAAGCTTGCACTTAACAAACAAAATAGATATGAGAAGCAAACGCAATATCGGTGGATGCGCAATATCGCGCAAAATTACATCAGTTACCATAATCGGCATTCGGCTAGCGTTCAAGATCGAACATGTATCACGAACCATCACGCGGCAGCCTATTAGCTGTCGGTCTAGAATTTCGCACAAACACGCCATTCCGATCACGCAGTCATTCGCTAATGAGCCATCGATCACCATGTGTTACCATCAGCCACTGTAACATTCATTACATCCCTACATCCGCTCAAAAGTGCGATAGTTCTGTTAGGTTTTGTCTACCACCCACAATCTTATTTCATTATGTTGCAGAGTCAAATTAACAACTTAATGGATATGATTGAACATATTTGTAGACTTGAGATATTTCATGCTTATAGATCTCTATATTCATTACTACATTTCTAGATCACATCATAATTGTAGTAATTGTGATTTCATAATTGTAGGTTCACATATGTAGTCTTGTCCTTTCATCTTCATAGACCTGGATTGCTAAATGTCTACATCGCTAAATGCATATATACATTGTACTATATGTATACACATATGCATGTCTCATGTTTCTAACCTCCTACACTCTCACATTTATAGCTTCTTACATTCTTATATCCTCATATGTACTTTCAAATCTTCAGATCCACATCCAGATCACATACTAAGATCCCTGTATCTCTGAATCTCCATATCCCACACCCACCACATCCTTATACCCCAACATCCCTAAATCTATTTCTAAACCTTCACAAGCTATCATATCCCATCGATAATAACGTAAAATGATTAAAACCGGTTTCACTGCAGCCGAAGCACATGTTCCAAAAATATTCATCTCGTCGACTTTAAACAACTCAGCTAACGGTTCTCTCGCGTTTTTTCACCCGTTGTTCGAGCACATTCGTTACGACGAGTATCGTCGGCACTCGGTAGCAAGCGGGAAACTTTCAAGTAATATTAAACACCTGTCAAACTACGGCAGTCGGTAGCCAACGGGGGTGGCCAGGTCAGTACGCGGATAGGGTGGCCGATGTACGAGTTCATCGTGGCCCCGGTGAAATGGAGTTACGAGTGCTTTTCGAGATATTATGTTTGAGTTTGGCCCGTAATATACGCCAGTGGCCCTAGCCCCGACGTACATCGTGGCCCGTTAACGATGGATGCTGCGGAAACGCGGAGGAACCATGTGAAATTCCTGCAGATCGTTGATTGTATCGTGTTTGGGAACGGATGGAATCGTTCGCGAAACGAGCGGGTGATTTCGAACGAGTGAGAAACTCGACTTCACAGACAGTGGATTATGGAGTTCGTGAACCGGCGATGTTGGTAATCGATTCAGATAAAATTCACGGACATTCGACGACATTTATTTAGATTGTTAATACCAGGTTTGTGGACCGCTGTTCCAATAAAGAATAATATGTTATTGATTGCTGAGGAAATTTCCAAACTCCCAAATTGGCAATTTATGTATTCCCAGATCCTTGAAGTCTCGAACAATCTCTCTATTTTTCCATATCAGTGAATTTGTAAATTTCCAAATACGAAAGTTTTTTCATAATAAAATCTATCTATTAAGTAAATCCTGAGTATTCTATAACGCCACATATTTGAGTAGCTGCATTCATCAACTTCCAGATGAAAATAACGTTAAGAAAAAAATATTACAAAAATACGTCACGAATACTATCGCAGTGTAGACGGTAATTATTTCGAACAAAGAGCTCAGGAAGAAAGAATCCGTCGCTGACCTGAATAGCTTAATTTAATACCGTCTAAGCTGCAGAGCTTAAGAAGCTTTCTCTACTCTGTCTTCGTTATCGCCGTACAAGAACGTTTGCTAATGCCGCGCCATGATATATAAGAAATATGACATAACGATTCTCTCCGGTATATCGATCTATTTGTTTCTAACAAGATTGAAGACAAATTCATTTGATTAACGTAGTCCATTAGTGTTTTACGGTCCTTCTGCTTTTTTTACGAGAGAACGTCCGGCTCGTAAATTGGTCGTCGATGAATCGGGCTTCTGTAACGGGTAAACAAGCTTGTAACGGGTGAACAACCAAAAAAAGAAGCGTTGCTCGTTTAAATGGATTTCTTTAACGATACACAAATGATCAGGTCCGATCGGTTCTAATTAATTACCCCTCCGCGTGATCCTCTCGTTAACTCGAAAAGTTCATATTGCTTAAATTACCGGCTTAATTGTCATACAGCGGTGCGCTTTGAAACATCAGCAGAGAGTTCACTAAAGCACCGACTTGTTCGGAAACTTCATCTCTTCAGCTACGAAATAATTAAAATACTTCAATTAGTCGGCTGCTGTCTACTTTCCCGGCTAAAGTTCCTTTCCTTTCGAAGACCGCGCGATGAAAAACTTTCTGCGAATCGATATCCTCGCTCTCATGGTCCATCGCGATGGAGGACCCAGGGCATAATCCATTTACACCGACGAGGATATCGACTGAGTTCACCGTTTCAGCAAATATAAACAACCGAGATACTGTTTCTTTCTATCTCGAAGACCTGGATGCAATAAATCTGAACCACGCTGATGGTTCTTTCCTTCGGCAAACATTACCTCCCATGGTAAATTGCGACTCTCACAGATTTCTACGCCGGAAGTGTCGACACTTTCAAAAATAAAATAATGCGGATGTTTAAGGACGGAGGCAGACGTGACAGCTTTACGTGTCTGAAAAGACCGAGTGTTTATCGAACAGGTTACGTGCAACGAGACTAATGAAGTCTACTTCGAACTTCCAGATGTTTAAAAATTTCAAAGTCCCAAGAT